GCATAATTTAAACATTTTTGCTGGGTTTTTAAATAGAAATGGGCATATTCCTAAATAATGCTTTAGCTGTCCTACAGATTGACATGTTGAAGTAGAAGTTGCACATTTCCTTTCTACCCTAATTTACGTTTGCGATGATGTGCAACACCAATTGCCAATGATGAGTGAAATGCCAATTCCGCAAATGGAGTCCTTCCCGGGCACTGTCACGAAGCCGCACTGGGCCTTTCTTCTGCTCCCGCCGCCTCCGATGGCCGCTCCGGGCCCGCGCGGCTTCCGCGACGCCTCAAGGCGCCATTTGACGCCCTCGCCGCTTCAAGCGCCTCCCCTCCCGATACGACAGCGTCACGACTTCACAGCGACACCGCCAAGCGGAACGCCCTGTCGCGTGCTCCGTCCGCCGTCCTCGTCACACGCACTGTTCCAAGACACCCATCCCCAGCCCAGCCAGCCACTCGTTCGCCATTCCACCTGGTCTGTCGTCTCGCAACAGTTCCGCATCGCGCCTCGCCCATCCGCCCCAGCCATCCGTCCCCGCCATCCGTCCCCGCGCCATCCTTTTCGCCATCCGTCCCCCGCCATCCGTCGCCGCCATCGCCGCACACACCCGTCCCTTCCACTGCCCTCTACACCTGCCCCGCACCGATCCCCGACACCCACGCCCGTAACCCGCCTCATAACCCGCACCTGTAACGCCTCGGAAATCGTCCCCGCGTAACTCGGCCCCCGTAACTCACCCACGTAACTCGCCCGTACCCTCACCCCCGTAAACTCACCCCGTAACTTGCCCCCGTAAACCGGGGGCCGCTAAAGCCGCCATCCTGGACTGAGGTTTTCTGGTTTACTCAATGCGCTTAAGGCGTATGCCGGGATGGTCCCCTATGTTTGTTTCTCTCCCAGACGTAAATGTACAGCTTTGTCCTCCCCTCTTAAATATGGTTTACTCATTGCTAAATGTATGTAATTCAGTGGTTAGCGAAGAGCAAGGCCTATGGCCTGAGCCTCGCCATTAATAAAACATTAAATTATATTCTTATTATTATTATATTATTATTATTATTATTATTATTATTATTATTATTATTATTAACCAGCCCCCGTAACCCACCCCATAACCGCACCGCCGTAACCCCACCCCAATAACCCAGCCCCCGTCAACCCACCCCGGTCCCAGCCTTCGTAAACCGTCCCGTCACTCCGTCCCGTAGAACCCGTCACATCTTCCCCAGCCGCAACTACGGCATCTGCCGTCATCGGGGGTGGGCCATGCCTGCCCCGGCACCACCTTGGGGCAGGGGGGCATCACGGCAGCGTGCCGCGTTGGGGTCGCCTCTTGGCTGTTGCTTTCGGCGTGCGGCGGAGGCCTGCGCGGCGCGGCGAGGCGCGGCGTCGTGTGGAGGGAAAGGAGCGGTCACTCCTCCGGGATGGGCTGCCGACCCCCCGTGACCCATCGCCACGCTTTCCCAATCTCCGAAAGGACGCCGGGGCGGGACGACGGTCTCAGTGGACGCATCAGCGATTCTTGGAGGGTGGACAGCGAGTAGCAAGCGCTTCGTCCCACTCTGGCATGTGAGCAATGTTAGATAAGCAATGCTTTCTGTTTCTACTGAGAAAGAAAATATTACTCGGCGAGTCTGTCGTTTGCTATTGTAAATATCGTGTGCCCCTACATTTCGGAGCTCGTCTGCAGTTTTTGTAGAATGATAAATTAGATATATCTAAATAAGCAACTTTGCTGATTACATCTAGGTTCTAGACAGTAATCTAATGTATTAAAAAACCCTCGGGTTTGTTTGTTGGTTTGTACTAAATGCGCTGCTACCTTATCGCGTCATCGCGATTGCGATAAAAACTTTGTCAGTTATCGGTTGTCCTTGTGGAAAGAATATCCGCATAGTACGAGGGAAACTGTTGCTTGTGGCTGCTGCACACATAGACTTGCGTTCATGATGTTTTTTATGCTGAGCTCAAGCCGCCAGATGAACAGGACGCTACTACGCAACGGCATTTCTACCGAACCGCCGCATCTTGAAGTAACGAATATTAAGATTCTCATTGTATATTCTACCCCTTGGTGATTATGAAATGTTCGCGGAAGACAGACAAGAGAGACAGAGGGAGACAGATACGCAGAGAAGAGAAACAGAAAGATAGTCCTGTATGTCAGAAGAGAGAGAAGTCAGAGACTGAGAAAGTCAGATAGAGAGAGAGAGAGAGAGGAGAAGGAAAGAGAGATAGAGAGGGAGAGAGAGAGTGGGTGAGAGAGTGAAGAGAGATGACGGAGAGACGCGTCAAGAGAGACGGAGAGAAGGGAAAGAAAGGAGAGAGAGGACGGGGAGCGCACTTTTGAGACGGAGACAGAGGGGAAAGGGGACGAGAGAAGACGGGAAAAAAAGGGGAAAGGGGGGAGGAAGAAAGAGAGATGGTGGGCAAGGACTACACCCGTCTGCCGGTTCCGCTAGTTTGTATACAATGACAAATAACTACGAGGCTATTTCTAAAAAATCCAAGTACTAAAGATGAGACATATTATAGCCGGTGAATTGTGAATGATCTAAGGTGTTTCTTTTCCCAAGATAATCAATATTTTTAGGTAAAGAAAGAAGTATTTTTAATAATCTTTCAGAATAAAATTAAAAAGACTGTTGAGCAATCGTCAGAATCCTTCTGTGCAGAAGGGAAAGTCAGTTCGCGAGCCGTCTGGCGTTTCGCGGGCCACTGTGCGCGCGGCGACCGTGCGGAGGCAACCGTCGTGACGACGGGGGCGGCGGAAGAAGATCAACGGAAGCGCCAGGCGGGCGACCCCCCCCCCCCCCCTCGGGAGGTCGAAGGACAAAGGGAACGGGTGGATTGGAACTGTGCGGGACAATCGCCCCCACCCCCGGCCCCGCCCTCCGCGCGCGCTGTTTCCCTGAATAGAGACAAATCACTGGCCCGCGAGCGCAATTTCTCGGGCCGAAACGAACGCCGCCGCCTTTCACCGGCGGCGGGGCGGGGAGGGGCGGCGGCGGTGCGGGACCTGGGGCGGGGGCAGGAGCGGGGTGGGGGCGGGGACCGGAGGCGGGCGGGGCGGGGAATGATGGGGGCAGGGGGGGGCGGGACGGGACGGGGCGGGGCCGGGGGTAGAGGCAAGGGCGGGGCGGGGCGGGGGCGGGGCGGGGCGGGGGCGGGGGCGGGGGCGGGGGCGGGGCGGGGTCGTGGGTTGCGGGGGCGGGGCGACTGCCCAGGTCTGGGGGGCCTAGGCGTTCCGCGCGTGTGCTTGGGCGCTGGTCTGTTCTGGTATGTTAATCAGCTGCAGCTTCTGCTTGTTATCGCATATATCTGTCAAAAGCATCGTATTGTCAAGCCTGGCATAAAAGCAGGATAAGGAATGGATAAAATTTATAATACCTTGTTAATTATACTTGTATTGGTTATTGGGGATTGGAATATCTGGAATAGTCTTAGTGTGTGGATTCTATCAACTATGTCATTATTTCTCTTTTTTAACTTTTAAAATTTCGAACATTTAAAGATTTCTACGAAAATAGAACTTGCGCCAATTTTGTAAGCATACTTTGATCTATTTGCGAAAAACATTAATAAAAGAATTGGGCAAATGAGAACGTTTTTAAAATTTTAGATTTTATGTAATGTACTACCCTCAAAATCAAAACATATGTTTCTAATGCACAAGATTTTGAGTTCGGATGATTTGATCGCGAAACATTAATTGTGAAGCGAATTCCTTCCGGACGGACGAATGGACAGACATACATTTTGCCGCAATACATTTTTCGCTCTCAGTAATTACAAAACGTGGCTTTTGACTACCCCACGTGTTAGAGAAAGTTATTTACAAGATTAGTGAACACAATTTCTTAACCTTTTTTATAACAACATCCCATAATACGGTTTTTCCTGTCAATAAGTCCCCCAATTTTGCTACTTTGCTTTCTCTTCACTACGTAAGTACATAGTGTGCGAGAAAGTAACTAGTGATATTACATAATGTCAAACCTTTTTCTCGTACTAGTTAGTTTTCTATTCTCTTTGATATATTTATTTCTATTCTCGTGTGGGTACCGTTTCGGTTTTGCTCCATTGTTTTCCCAGCTGCTCTAACATCTCACTTTTCGGAACGTTACTTGTTACATGTCTAGTTAACTCCTTGCTAACTGCTCCAACAAGACTAGAAAAAGAATACCCTTTCCTCAACAAAATAATTTATTTATTTCATGAATCCACATCGTTAGTCTCTTGAAATTATTAGGTTATTCCAGGGCTCATGGAAATATTTAACACGTCTTACATTCAATCCACTTCTCGGAGACTTTTAGACTCTATCAGTTAGACTACTTGTTTATCTACAGTATCGTATCAAATGTTCCGATTGCTGTGTAACGAACAGATTACGTTAGTATTGGCAGGATTACATTTTTACGTTTTCTCAATCATTCGGTGTCCTAGTAGTAGAACTGAAATATGACGTAAATAATAATATAGAAGAGTGAAACTGGAGCCCACATGTAACTTTTAATTGAACATTTTAAAGCCACTTTTTGAAAAAATGTATCACTATCTGCTACAAGTATGATTGAAAAAAGTTCGACGGTGTTTGAACAATTTAACTTTTAATTATATTAAAACTTTAATTTTAAATACAAAATAACGGAGTTTGAAATTTTTTGGAAACTTTCGTGGCCAAATTAATTTAACGAAGATTTTCTACAATGAAATTGGCTTCTCTACCATTAGCTCTTATTAAAACCATTAAAAGTTTTGAAAAAATTAATAGTTTTTGCGTAGTTTTTGAGTGGAAGATAAGACAGTTTTTTAAAAACATAATTGTCTTACAAATGATTCTAATTTTTTTTCGTTTTTGTAAACGTTTACACGAAATTACCCGTCAATCATCATTTTGATGTATTCTTTAAAAAATTCACTCAAAATTAATATGGTTTGACCCTAATAAAACAGACACTGTTCGAAGCGTGCCTCAAAGCATAATGATAAACTTGGCAGATAAAGTCCAGTATGAAAAACAAAGGAAAACAAAATACTTCATATGAATATTGATCAGATACTACTTGACCGTAATGCAATACTAGTAGTCAGTTGGATTTGAATGTGAGTTAATTAAGATGAAGTTTGAAAGACATTCTAAAGAATAGTGTCTAATGAAGTTCGTTATTAACTCGGTACTCTAGAAAATGATCCATAATTAATCTATTACCTTTTTTGAAACATCTCTCTTGTAATGAATATTTATAAGTACATGTGTTGTGAATTATTGCATATATGCGTTAAAGGATGCTTCAATTAGATTTCCATAATGCTTCAGAAAATACGAATATTTCCTGTGAAATGAGCTTGAATTCGCAGCTTTTTCTAAAATCATCTGAGAAGA